CCATTGTTTATTTGGCAGGATGAAAAGCAGGGGCCGGGAGTCTCACCCAGTCAGAAAATGAACAGCTCAGAAAAATGACCGTACCTTCATCTCAGCTAGCAGCTTAGCTGTGTAGGCCTTCCTTGTTCCAGATGGTGGGTCCATGCCAGAGCAGCTGGTCCTGGACTCAATGCAGCAGCTGGAGCATTTCAAGGGAAGGCTGTGCCCGTCAGTGACCAGCCTGGCAGAGGACGAGGCATGTTTTCACATGGGCACTTAGTGAATGAGCAGATGCTGGCCAAGGAGGAATGTGGCCGGCTAGAAATACTGCCACGGTGCAAAGTGTTAGCTTCCAAAGACTGCCCTTGCCTCAGAGAGAGAGAGAGAGAGAGAGAGAGAGAGAGAGAGAGAGAGAGTTCCCTCCTCAGTCAGCCATCAGCTAAATCTTTTCACTTAGGCTAACCCTGACTAATTCCTGCTCCTACTTATTGCTGTTCATGTGCCTGCCAACAGCATGCTTAGCGTAGCGTGTCTTCCAAAAGCTTTTGGCAGATCCCTGCAGCTCTCAGGGCAGGTGATAGATAAGACCTGTTAACCCATCTGTAGAAATGGGAAACTGAGGCAGGGGGGCACTGGCTCGTTGTAAAGTTGCACCAGTTGAACTTGTGATTTAAATGGTATCCTGAGGCTGCACGACGGCTTTCACTTGGGTGGAAGCCAGGCTTATTTCAGTACAGCTCAAACTGATTAGGTACAGCTTTAAACTAAATTGAAAGGAGTCATTCCAATTAAAAAAAAAAAATGTGTACGCGGGGGGTTACACTGGTTTAACTAAACAAGTACAGATGTGTGGCTACAAAGACCAGAGAAGAGTGGGGCTTGTCCACAGGGGAACGATTTATGGTAATACAGGTGAAACATACCAGCAGAGTTAAACCGATATAGTGATACCGGCACGAACCCCTGTTTAACAAGTAATACTGGAATCAGCGTTCCCAGTCTCATTTCAGTGTAGCTTAAACCCCTTCCAAAGTGATACAAGCTAAACCATTTAAAGGCACTCTTGTTCTGGATTTAGTGTGTCTACATGGGGAGTTTTAGCAGTATAACTAAGGCAGGTTAAATGACACGGTAGCTTATACTAGTGCAGAACACTGGGCTATTCCAGGTACAGAAGCCCTAAGTGACTTCACAAGGCCAAAGAGGGAGCCCTTTTTAGTGCCAGGAATAAAACAAAGGGATTCTGGGATGCCAGGGCTGTGCTTGGACCACTAGGCCAGATTTCTGTTATGGGAAAGCTCCCCCCCCCCAGTTATGCCTCTTTTCCCATTAGCACAGTAACGTGGGAAGAGCTTGCAAGAGACCACAAAGGACTTGAGAATTCCTTTGCACGCTCATCTGTCTATCAGGTATGGTCTAGACAGTATTTGGTCCTGCCTTGAGGGCAGGGGACTGGACTTGATGACCTCTCGAGGTCCCTTCCAGTCCTAGTATTCTGTGATTCTATGATTCTATGAAAAGAAACTATTTCCTATAGCTCAGTCTCCTAGGGTGTGTCTAAACTACATGGCTCCATCAATGGAGCCATGTAGATTAGGCTGATCGGCAAAGGGAAATGAAGCAACGATTTAAATAATCGTGGCTTCATTTAAATTTAAATGGCTGCCACGCTGAGCCGACAAACAGCGGATCAGCTGTTCGTCGGCTCAGCGCGCTAGTCTGGATGCTCTCGCGCTGACCTGAAAGCCCTTTATCGACCTCCCCGTTATGCCTCGTAGGATGAGGTTTACCGGGGAGGTCGATAAAGGGCTTTCATGTCGACAGGGGAGCGTCCAGACTGCCTCGATCTGCCGACAAACAGCGGATTGGCAGAGCGGGGCAGCCATTTAAATTTAAATGAAACCGCGATTATTTAAATCATGGCTTCATTTCCCTTTGCCGAACAAACAAATCTACATGGCTCTGTCGACGGAGCCATGTAGTCTAGACGTACCCCTAGGGTATGTCTACACCACCCGCTTATTTAAAAATCATTCAAGTTATTTTGAAAGAACAGAGTGTGCGTCTACACAGAAAGCCTGTTATCTCAAAATAGTTTCAAAATAGTGGGCTTCTTACTCCAACTCATGGTAACCCTCATTTCACGAGGAGTAAGGGAAGTCAAAGGGCGAGTGTTCTTCCTTTCACTTCCTGCTGTATAGACAGCTCCTAAGGACGAGTTAAGCTACTTCGACTTCAGCTAAGCCATGAACGTAGCTGAAGTTGAATCTTAACTCGACTTTAGTGTAGACATATCCCTAGGATTTCCTATTTTGGATTTTATACACTGTTATTGTATTCGTCAGTAAACAAAACCAAACCAATGCCTCTCAATCTGTCCCCCCCCCCCATCACTGGCAGTGAAATGGTCCATATGGAATCTATGAGGAAATTGTCATCTAACAAGATGTGTAAGATGTGATTGCTGCACACTGCTAGTGGGTTCAGAATGGGACCAGTCTCTGTTCTGTGACTCCGCAGAGCCATGCTCCAAAAGTCTAAGCTTCCACGTGAAGAAAATGAATTGCATTTCTAGTGCTTCTGAATGTCTGCAAAATAATCAACTGTAGAATAACACAGGATTGTCTTCCTGAGTCTGCAGAGAGTCACAGTAGCTCTAAGAGTGTCGTGAAGTGACCTATACCTCTTAGTGGGACTCTGATACCTAACAAGGATAATTTAGCGGTTAATGCCTTATGCTGTTTTAGTGCTTACTAGAATAGTAGAAACTGACTGCATCTCTTCAGCAATCCCAAATTGCCTGTCCCTTATCCCAGGGTGCACAAAGTCCTTGCATGAAGCATAAGGGATCTATCGAAAAGGGCTTTCTTTCTCGACAGATCCCTTCTCGACTGCCGCTTTTTGCCGACAAAGTGCTGAGCTGGCAAAACACGGTGGCCATTTTTATGCAAATTAGGCATGGAATATTTAAATCCCTGCCTCATTTGCAATGTCGACCTGCCTAATCTGCATCCCTCTGCCGACAGAGGGATGCAGTCTAGACATACCCTAAGATAAGAATCTGTGGTGTATCGAAAATTCAGAGTAAAATAAATGGAGCTTAATACCAAAATAAGTCACAGGAATTACTGCAGCTTAGTATACGATTCCTTTCTGTATGTTATTTCATCTAAAATTCCAGTTTAGAACTCTCCCAGCAGGTGCCGCTGAATTTTCAGAAACCAGAGGTTCTTGTGGCTGAATTCAGCCCCATTTCTTAATGAGACCCAGGGTTTCGGTTACAGAATCATAGAAATGATGGGCTTGAGAAGTCATCCAGTCCCTCCGCTTATGCCCAGGCAGGACCCCCCCAGCCGTAACTGGGGGTTGTCCAAGGCTGTTCTTAAAAAACCTCCACTGATGGAGCCAGGCGAGCTGACAGTCTTGCCAGGCCTCTGGGCAACGTGGGAAGGGCCTGGCTCTGCATGCTTTGAAGGGGTGGGGACTCAGGTGGAAGGGGTGGGGTCAGGGCAGCCAGTCCTCACCGCTGCCCGAACCCTCCGTCTCAGTGCTGCCTGGAGCACATGGCATGGTGCTCCAGCGGTGATTTAAAGGGGCCCTTTCTCCATTTTTTAACCTTTCCTCATAGGTCAGGTCGTCTAAACTTTTTTTAAAAATAATTTGTGAAAAAGAATGAGAACGACGTGAAGTATTCCAGCTTTTGAGATACTGTGACATCTCTAATAAAAGCTAAGATTGGGGAGGGTTTTGGACCAGTTCTGGTTCAGATTGGACTTGGAGCTGACAATATGTCACTGATTGCAAAAACAAACTAAAACCTACCGTATTTTCCGGCGTATAAGGTGACTGGGCGTATAAGATGACCCCCTAATTTTCTAGTTATACTCGCCGTATAAGACTACCCCCCCTTAAGAGGCCAACCGGCAGCGCCCCAGCGCCCCTCCACCTCCCTTGCTTTTCTCCCGGTGCCCCTGGTCTGCTGGAGACGGTCCCCAGCAGACCCTGGAATCAGCCACTGATCAGTTTCAGCAGCAGCCGGCTTGGGGACGCTTGGGG